CATTCACATAAGCAGAGTAGGATGGGAGACGTTTGACGAGTTTTATTTTTTAATTGCTACTTCTATTTCACAATTTACACTGAAACTTTCACCTACTTCCTACCTCAAACAGACAGGAACCTTATCTTTAGTTGTCAGCGGCAAGCCAGAAAAAGGGAACTCTCGGTTTCATACATTCCGTTTAGGGGAGGTTCTATAAACTAAATAGGTGAGACAATTCCTGTAAGCAGGAATTTTAAATTATCAAACTTTTACAAAGTCCAAAGATTTACACTTTAGTATTTTACCTTATTTGTTCCTACCCTACTTAGCACTTAATACTGGTATTTAGTATCCTATCACTTGTGTCAGTATTTGTTTTATTTTTATGTATGCTATACTTCTGCATTCTTTTTCTGTTCCTTTTTGTATGCTCTAATCTAGCTCGATACAAAACTACTCTCTTTCATTGTCCTATTGCTATAGTCGTATATCTTTATGGTTCTTTATATGACCATACACAACTGTTTCCCACATCACACAACACTGTCGAAAGTCACTTAACCTAGTTCTTGATATTCCAGTTCCCGTGGCGCTGGCTGCACCGCTCCTGATATCCTGGCTACTGCCAACTTTTTTGTGCTATTGCTTGCAAATGCCAATGTGTTTTTTATGTGCCCACTGCCTTTAGAACTTCAGCTTCCAGCCAAGTTCTTCCCTAAAAGGTGGGGAAGGGAGACTCCAAAAAGGTACAATTGGGCAGAGGGTTTTTGCCACTGGCTGTGTGTCCGTTCACAAAAAGCAACTGGAATTTCAAGGGCTACAGGTTTCCCACCCAATCTAGAGCATGAGAGGAATTTTAACTTCAGAAACTATTTTGTGCTTGGCATTTAAAACTGTTTTCCCATTTTTAAATGTATTTTATTTACAACAGGAATTAAAATTGATCAGGAAAAAGCAAATACCTTTATTAGAAGACAGAAGAGGGCTTACCCATATTCTGAAAGGTAATGCAGATATGTGTAATTATTAATTCTCAATGTAACTGAGAAAAGATGAATGCAAAGATTATGAAAAGCATTGAAATGCCAGCATGTGTGATTCCATAGCTACTGGAAATAAATTAATTCTTCTTCGCTTTAACAAGACTAATTTAAATATCATTGCGCAGAAGAAAAAGTGCTTTTTAAGATGATATTCAGTGTAACAGCTGTTCTGCTGTTCCAGTTTAGATTAGCTAGAAAGCAGGAAATCATTGGATTTCTTGCTTTCTAGCTAACTTAAAAGCAGAGCTGAACCTTCCTTAGGACTGAAACTTTTATTTTTCAGTGCAGACTCAGCTAGTAGATTGCATGAATCTGTGATTCTGTGAGCAACTCAATCTGCCTGCCTGCTTTGCCTGATTTTGGTAAAAGTTGTTCTTTTTTTTAAATAAAAAATTCAATGTTTACATACATGGTGTGTTGTGAGTTAATTTTGTGAGTTTGCTTGCTAGCAAATGTTATGTGACTCAGCTAGCAGGTTGCAGAAAGATAGCTCTCTGCATGAATCTATGATTCTGTAAGCAACTCAATCTGCCTGCCTGCTTTGCCTGATTTTGGGTAAAAGTTGCTCTTTTTTTATAAAAAATTCAATATTTATATAAATATTTATAATATTTATATACAAGCCATGCCCAAGCACATGATCACCAAGCCATGCCCAGCCAGCAAGCCACACCCAGCCAGTCACATGACTAAGCCACACCCACAAATTAGGCCACACCCACAGAACCGGTTGTTAAGAAATTTGAATCCCACTCCTGGAGATAGTTATATATATTCTGGCTTCTAGTACAACTGAAAGGGGCCACAATGATGCCAATAAAAAACTTGCTTATTTTATTAAGTACATTCGGGACTAAGGTTCTTCTCATCAGCCAAGAAACCTTATGTTCCTTCCAATTAGCCGTTCTTACCACTCAGATCTAGAGTATTATGATCCTGTATTTCCTACAGCCTTGTAACATCTTGCTTCTGTCATCATGGTTCTGGGGATGAATACAATTTCTCTTGCAGTTTTGATCCACATGTTTTGCTCTTCACTTTTGCCCAAGTTATAGAAACTCATGTTTTTCCTTCAATATCCATCACTTAGGCTTACCTGGCTCCCTTATTTTTGGGATCTCAAGGTTCTACTTTTTGGGATAACTCCACTAATTCTTGGCCCACTCTGTTCCTGATCCCTGCATGTCATCATTTTGTTCTAATTTACGTGGATTTCTTTCTCCATCGTATAATAGTCAATCATTTTCTCACTGGCATCATAACACTGAATCAGCCTTAGAGAGTTAAGAAAAAATAAACTCTAAATTAGTGTTAATTGTTACCAGCAATATATTTTTTTCTGCCAAATTTCAATTTGCTGAAAGAAAAATTCCTTTAGAAATTATTTCAAAGAATAAAATGACCCTTGGGAAGACAAAAAATGGCCCTATTGGAAGTAGCGAAACAAGCATGTTTCTAGCTTCTGGAGGCCATTTTCTGGCCTAGGGGAGGCCATTTTTGCTCTCCCAGAGGCCCGAGGGAAGCCTCTGGACCAGTGGTGGGATTCAAATTTTTTTACTACCGGTTCTCTGAGCATGGCTTGGTGGGCAGGGCAGGGGAAGGATACTGTAAAATCTCCAGTCAGAGGTGGTATTTGCTGGTTCTCCAAACTACTCAAAATTTCCACTACCGGTTCTCCAGAACTGGTCAGAACCTGTTGAATATCATCTCTGCTCTGGACCCTTGGGAAGGTGAAAAATGGCCCTCCTGGAAGTTCCCGGCCCTGGATACAGTGCAAGGCTATGAAGTCAAGCCTCCAGCATAGTTTCACAGTATTGCTGCTTCTCCCTCTGATCTTCTTCCTGTACTTCAGGTACTATGAAATGTTCAAGTCCCCGATGGAGATGAGGCAAGAACAGTGTGAGCATTACGCACCCTGTAACTACTACTCTGAAATAGTGGGATTTCCTACAGCTTATCGCCGTTACTTTGGAAGCATCTGAATATAGTCATTTCTCATCCAACTGTGACATCTCCAAGGACAAAGAGTGACTGGTGTGGGGCAGCTTAAGAAAAACAAAAATAGCATCTTGTTTCTATTTCACTAACAAGACTTTAAGAGCAACATATTCACTTTAAAGATAAGAAAGAAGTACTTTCTACTTTCTGAGGACCAAGTAAGTACTAACACAGTCTGCTAGCAATTCTATAAATTTCAGTATTTCTTGAAACATGAGTGACATTTCTTGGAAAGGGAAGGCAAAAATTTATTAAGGTAATTGGAAGTTGAGGGTCACTTTTGGGGAAACCTATGGTAAAATATTCAATATCATCATTCCAGACACTCTTCTAAGTAAATTAAACCAACTAGTGGTATCTGAACACACTTGTAAGTGGATCATAAGCTTCCTAACAGACAGGAAGCAGCAGGTGAAACTAGACGGAATTACATCCGATACCTGTACAATCAGCACAGGGGCCCCCCAAGGCTAGTGCTATCTCCACTTCTCTTCTCCCTATATACCAATGACTGCATCTCAAATGATCAATCTGTTAAAATACTGAAGTTTGCTGATGACACAATAGTGATTGGTCTCATTCGAGACAACAATGAATCTGCATACAGACAGGAGGTTATACAACTTGCCTCGTGGTATAACCGGAACTATCTGGAACTGAACACACTCAAAACAATAGAAATGGTGGTAGACTTTAGAAGAAATCCTCCCATACTACCACCTCTTACACTACTAGACAACACAGTATCAACAGTAGAAACCTTCAAATTTCTAGGTTCTACTATATCACATGACCTAAAATGGACACCTAACATCAAAAACATCATCAAAAAAGCACAACAAACAATGTTCTTTCTGCGCCAACTCAGAAAGCTCAAACTGCCCAAGGAGCTGCTAATACAGTTCTACAGAGGAATTGTTGAGTCTATCATCTGCACCTCTATAACTGTCTGGTTTGGTCCTGCAACCCAACAGGACAGACACAGACTTCAGAGGGTAATTAGGACTGCAGAAAAAACAATTACTACCTACCTGCCTTCAATTGAGGACCTGTATACTGCATGAGTCAAAAAGAGGGCTGTGAAAATATTTATACCCCTCACCTCCCGGACATAAACTGTTTCAACTCCTTCCCTCAAAACGACGCTATAGAGCACTGCACACCACAACAACTAGACACAAGAACAGTTTTTTCCCCAAAAGCCATCACTCTGCTAAACAAATAATTCCCTCAATACTGTTCAACTATTTACAAAGTGTACACTACTATTACTGTTAATCTTCTCATCACTTCTTATCACCCATCCCCTCCCACTTGTGATTGTAGGACTGTAACTTTGTTGCTTGTATCCTTATGATTTATATTGACTGTTTCCTAGTATGATTTGATTGTTGATTGTACCCTATGACTATCATTGTGTTGTACGTTATGATTCTTGATTCTTAACGAATGTACCTTTTCTTTATGTATACTGAGATTATTTACACCAAGACAAATTCCTTGTGTGTCCAATCACACTTGGCCAATAAAGTATTGTATTGTATTGTATTGTATTGTATTCTATTGTATTCTATTGTATTGTATTCTATTCTATTCTAAAGAGATGCTATGCTAAATGTTCTCACATTTCAAACTGCGATGTGATAGAAGGAATTTCTATGAAGGTGGAGGGTATTGTTGATAAGGTTTTTCTTATATAAGTTCATAAATTTTTACATCAATTCATCAATGCACACTCATGTTTTTGTCCTGGTCACAGAAGCATCTTAAATAAAAAAAATAAATAATACAAAATTCTTATGTACATTGCAAATATTTCAAAGAAACACATTCCTCAACTATGCTGAGGATATAGTCCTTAACTGTAATGGGATTAAACATGTTCCTGATTAGGAACTAGAATATAGTGATACAAATGTAAAGGCTTGTTTTGGTTTTTTGTTCTCTCATTACCATTATTTTGCTGACAACATATGATCATTTCATTTAATGACTAAGGAAGGATGCTGAAATATGGATTTAACATATTCTTCTTACATTTCCAATTTGGAACATATGTGGTCATGGCTATTGTACTCATCTGAGTATAAAGGGAAAAAAGCACTTGGAATGGGCCCGGAACACAGATGTTTATTAAGAATTATGTCCAACAGAATATCCACTAGGATTGCAACAAGCATCTGCTTTAAGATACACTGAAATAAGAAAAAAGATTAATGAGGAAGAACCACTTAACTTGATTATATTTCTAATGGTTTGTCTTCATCCATTCAAATTGTCAATTTCCCTTAATGAAACACAGTTGGAAGTTAGTGAAAAGCATCCTTGAGCAATGGCCAATAAGTAGAGAATTTTAAAAAAAATCATGGAAATACAACTGGCATAAAGAGGAAAAATTGATAAGGAAAGGAAGGGAAGATTTTGCTATAATGAGACTTTCCTTGGCTTAATGTGCTGTAGGTGGAGGTTTCTATAAAAACAGATTCAGCAACTTCAATTACTGTTAGGGAATGTTGCAGCCAACTGCCAATAAATCCTCTCTTCATTGGGTTGCATTAGAAATGTATATGCTAATTACCTCCCAATTGCAACTTTTTTCCCCCCTGAACTCCAGGTTTTGGTGTATTCATTAAGACTAAAAGACTGAAGGCTATATTTCTTAAACAATTGTTTTTTTCCTGAAAAAAATTGCCCATGAAATAAAATTTTCTGGAGTAGCTTTCTTGTATTTCACATCAACCTAGTATCTAAGGTTTTTGCTATATTTGTTTTCAAGTTCTAGAATTAGCACCTTTCTGCTATTCCCTAAAGCAGCCTTTGTTTTTCTGCTTTAATAGAAGGCCGAGAACATATTTCCAAATTATCTTTAAGCACAAATAACCCTATTATACAATCTCTTCCATCCAAAAACTTCTACAGCTATGTTCCTACTCTATGTCTAAATATTTGACTGTCTACAGCAGGGCTGTCAAACTCGTGGGCCAAATGTGTCATGTGCTGGCCGTGCCCATGCCTGGTTTAGCAAAGGGGAAAAATGTCACAATACATCATGTAATGATGCCGTGACAATCCAAATTTGACACCCCTCGTCTATGGCGTTAACACAAACATAAGAAAAATACAAATATATAAATATGCCATTTGTCTAGGGTTGTCCTAAGAAATCAGATGCAAGGAACTGATTGCCCATGTTCAATTTTTGTGAGTCAGCTAGGGGACTAATACTGATTTTGCTCATATGTACATATGGTATATACCAAAATTGAGCTTTATACCAAGGAGAGATGAAAAAAAGGATTCAGCCTATCTTCTTGAATCATTCAATTGAACTTGCTTTGAGGAGCAAAATCAGATTCATTTTGTGTCTTGATACTGTGATATTTACTGGAGACGGAATTATTTGTCATCAAATTCAAATATATGCGAACGATGGGAATTCCCAGGCAAAAACAAATGCTTTCAAATCAAGATGCTGAGTATGTTTACTTTGGGAAAAAAAACCAGAGTGAGAAAGAAGAAGATGCTAAGTGGATTTCCTTTGTCACATTATTATTTATAATTGAGTAAAGTTGAATTAACTGGAATTGAAAAATGAGGATAGTTATTAAAAGGAGAAAAATAGATATGTGATGAAGAAATGAAAACCATATATATACAGTAAAAATAATTAAGCAGAAGAGAAGAAGTCGCACAGGGAAGAATTAGTAAAGGAGGATAAGGCCATTTCAAGGGAATTGATTAAAAAAAAAACAACTTCAAAGTTATTAAGGGGAATTTTGAACAGAAGCCAAACCATATACATATGCCTGTGTTGGCACTATAGATGGGAATACACATACTCCAATCAGAAGTTTTCTCTTTTTTTATTTGCAACTTTCTTGCTGGGTAAAGAGAAGTAAATTTCTAAAAGCTGAGCAATTGTCTTCTGGTTTATTGCTTTTTGTCAATGATCAATGTGACATACTCTTCAGCCACCTTAATATATCTTTGGAAATGTTCACAAGATGGTTTCAAAATCTGAACAGCTTCTGCCATGATTTCTGCAGCCAACTGAACTGGATCCTTAGATGTTTGTTTTTTACAATGAATTATCCGCATGAATTTAGTAAGTGAAAAAGAAGTGGGAACAACAGAAAAACTGCGGGTTTTCTGTTTGACTGGTGGTGAAGTGTCAGATGAACAGGGATTGGAGTCTGGAAGGGCTTTAGCAATTTCTTCTTTGGTCATGAGAAGCTCACTCACTTGAAGAGACGGCACGGGTGTATTCATTAAATTCTGAATAGCAACCTCAAGCATTTCAAGGAGATTACCATGCTTAATTATAACAGCACAAATGGGACCACAGATACTTTCAAAAGCACCATTATATTGAGAATATATATCTTTTACAAGCCTGATTTTTTCATCAGTGGAAAGGGTTGGCAGAATAAGTTGAGAATACAAAGAAACTTCAATTTTTTGCTGGAAATCTTTGTCTTTCAATTCTACGAGCATCTGCATCTCTTTCAGAGCACTCTGTAGAAGCTGAAGATTTTCCTTGATGCTAAGGTTTTCCTGTACTGTAATTATGGCTAATTTACTTCCAAGAAATTGGTTGAGCATTCGGAATGCAGTATTGATAGAAGAAACAAAAAAGTAGACACAGTCATACATATCGCGGCTGGCCTTGACTAGCTTCTCCTCAGACTTTGCTCCACAAAAAATGGAGTGCATTTTCATAAAAGGATATGTCACACTGAAATTCAAATTAAAACAATATTTAATGGAAAAAAACCAATTGCTTAATTTTATGAAATCAAGGGCAATATATATTCTATGATGACTAAGCCATACTCAAAATATCTCTGATGTATTTCTATACTTTGAGCTAGTACAATATATTTTATTTGAATGGCTATAAAAAATATGAATAGCCCTCTTCAATCAGGCCAAACCCATCTTTTTTCTGCAGTGTGGCCAACTGGATGCTTTGAGGATCTTGCATGTAAGAAATATTCCCTCTCTCTTGTCTTTGTTCCTTTGAATCTGCAGGGATGAGATTGCCAACAAGACTAATCCAAATAAATGTCAACAGAGTCATCTCCATCTCCTTGTTTGATAACAACCTCAGATATCAAACTACCTTGTTTGATAACAAGCTTAGATAGCCTGGGCACAAATAGCATAAATACAATATAAGGTGACATACGTATAGCATGTTGAAAGAAAAATGCATTTAAACACTAACCAGCCATCCTCCAATATCTGAGGTCAGATTTTGGCCAGTTTGGAAAGCCATGGTTTCAAACCTCTCCTAAAGGATGGCAAGGTGCACCATTTTTTGTTGGGGCTGTTAAGAGAATCACTGTGGTCATTAAAAGAATCCATTGTCCACAAGGGGCATTTTTTTCTGCCTGAAACTGGAACAAAATGCTGATTTCCAACAAAAAACTATTAAATAATAATCATGTGACCATGGGGCTGTACATGTGGGCTGACTGCTAAATGCCCAAAATGTGATGTGACACTGGGGTCATAGGGGGTAGCCATTGGAATTTCAAATTCTGGTCATAAGTAACCTGAGGGGGGGCTCCTTTGTAACTTCAAATGGTTGCTAAGCAACCAATTGTAAACAGAGCACTATCTGTATTTATTTATGAAATGTGTCTAAGCTCTGGAAACTGACCATATTTTAGGAAGTTTACAGAATTTATAGACTGAAAAGAAGGTACAAAATAAAATGATTAAAATAATAAAAATATCACTAATGCAGTTAAACCCAAAGACCCTTTAAAAAAGCTACATTTGCACCTGCTTCTAGAAGACCGTGATGGTGGCAGACATCTATCTTTTGGGGGAAAGTTAGTGCAGAGGAATGAGTTGCTACAGAGAATGCCTTCCACTGGGGTCTATCTCACTATATTTTCTGATAAATGGAGGATATTACTAGGCTATCCCTAGTTGCTCAGGTAGGATGGCGAAAACCTATTGAGGAAAAGTCACCTGTAAGATACCTAGGTCATCAAGTATATAGGGCTTTATACCTATACCTTGAACTGCACTTGGAAATCTATTTGGAATCTAATAACAGAGGAGTAATGTGGCACTATCATGTCTGACCAATGAGTATATGTATTATTACATTTTCCGGGAGTGGCCTTTAAGAGTATCCTCAGGTGCTATGGATTATAATTATCTGAACAAATGATGAGAAGGCATGAGTGAGACTCTACAGATCATCCTGTGGAACAGCCAAAGCTATGCAAATGCCTTCCAAAATATAATATCTACCCGTTCTTTGATCAGGAGCAGTTAGTCCAAGAAGTCCTGCTCATTGCAAGCCGGGAGCATCACCCCATCAAGAGTCAAAGATGGTATAACCTTGGCATTATTCATCTTCTGAATAAACAACCTCTGTGCCTCTTTGGATTGATTCTGAGACTTTTTCATTTCAGGTTATATCTCCTAAGACATCTCCCAGAATAGAATAGAATAACAGAGTTGGAAGGGACCTTGGAGGTCTTCTAGTCCAATTACCTGTCTAGGCAGGAAACCATACACCACTTCAGACAAATAGTTATCCAACATCTTTTTAAAAACTTCCATGTTGGCACATTCACAACTTCTGATTCATTGTCTTAACTGTCAGGAAATTTCTCCTTAGTTCCAAGTTGCCTCTCTCCTTGATTAGTTTCCACCCATTTGCTTCTTGTCCTGCCCTCAGGTGCTTTGGAGAATAGCTTGACTCCCTCTTCTTTGTGACAGCCTCTGAGATATTGGAACACTGCTATCATGTCTCCCCTAGTCCTTCTTTTCATTAGATTAGCAATACCCAGTTCCTGCAACTGTTCTTCATATGCTTTAGCCTCCAGTCCCCTAATCATCTTTGTTGCTCTTCTCTGCACTTTTTCTGGAGTCTCAACATTTTTTTTACATCATGGCGGTCAAAACTGAATGCAGTTTTGGGTGTAAGTATATAACCAGATAACACCAGTATATTATAGCAATAGCAGTTAGACTTATATACAGCTTCATGTGCTTTACAACTCTCCCTAAGCAATTTATGGAGTCAACATATTGCTCCCAACAATTTGGGGGCAATTTTACTGACCTTAGAAGGATGGAAGGCTGAATCAAACTTCAGCTGATGAAGTTCAAACCTCTGGCGGTAACAAGAGTTAGCCTGCAATACTGCATTCTAACCACTGTGCCAACATGATGAGATTTCACCCCAAACTGGCAGATGCCCTCTCCCAGAAATGTTGTGTAGATGTTAAACAGGATAGGAAAGTGGTCTGAACCCTGATGCATTTCATCATGAAATGGTCAGGGGTCTGATCTCCCTCTACCCACCATAACCACCTTCTGAACCTGCCCACTGAAAAACACACAAAAACCTGCGACATCATGCTTCCCAACCTTCCCAACTGGTCTAGAAGAATACAGTTGTCAACAGAATTGAGAGGTGCTGAAAGATCAAGTTTATATGATAAGTTAAATATACAACTGATTTCAGATCTGAAGAAAGAAATACATGAATGTTGTACTACAATAAAGTATTAGAAAGTAAGACATGCATATGCTGTTAATAAGAAGTAGTAAAATAAAAACACTGAACATATTTTAATTGTGGTTAAGAAATAGAAATTGCCAATATTATCACAAAAGTAAAATGTAGCAGCCTTTCATAAGAGGATTTATAATATATCTTCTATTATATTGTTCACAGGGAAATTCCAATCTGGAATAATTTAAGAACATGAAGAATTTATTTTACCTGTTTTTTCTTATTTATTCCATCTGGATATGTTCCATCAATCTTCTACCCTCAGTGGCCTACTTTGATATTCCTCAGGAACCCAGTTGCATCAGTTGTCAATAGATGTCTTCAAACCACAGACTCTGGTGTTCAGTAGGGCACACATTTCAGATACATACCTGACACTGTAGAGAAAAAAAAATCCTGATCAGAGATATATTTTATACGCCCTTTAGATTTTTATACTATGAAGATAATATCAGCTGTTCTCTTATTTTTCCTCTGTTTTCTCTTGGTCTTTCTCCTACTTTCTTTTAAAGTTGTCCTTTACTTTATAGTTTTTTTCTGTGTTACAATAATTAAGTATTATTAAATAAACAACATTAGGAATACTTTGTATCAATATATTTATGGTTGCACAGGTTCAGAAATAAAAATCATGCCAGTTTTGAATTTAAACCATAATGAAACTTAATTTCTTTGGAATAGCATAGTTAAAATAAATAGAAAACATGGCTCAACCTGTATTTTGCTTGGTATGATTGCTTGGAAAGAGATGAAAAGAAAACACAGTTCAGTGAAGAAGAACTAGAAGAGAACAGCTCCTCTTGTTGAAATATTATCAGTGGTTACACAGGCAATGACCTCATAGAGGCCTGTCAGTTGGATAATCCTGCAGGATACCAATAATATAACAGTGACATCATAAGATATAATCAAAGAAACAACACAGCACTCTAACTGCTTCAATTTAAACAAAACAGAGCAACCTCTTACTGTATTTCCTCCACTTGTTTAGGTTGCACATATATAACCACTCTACTAATTGTTTACCTTGTTGCTCTCAGAATGCTACATTTTCAACACTTGAAGACTATTTTTGAAGAAGGTGGCAATCTTTCTTTTCTAAGGCTTATTGTTTTATAAGGGAAAATTTTCCAAAGAAGAAATGGCTTCAGAGCTGAAGAAGCTTCTTGGATGAGAAGTGAAACATCTTTAAAGAAAATGAGAAAGTCTAATTGCCTCTTGAAAAGAAGCACCTTGGGACAACCATGACCTGGATGATTGAGAATCTCCATAGACATAAAGAAGAAATGGGTTCATCAAGATAACAGTTCTAATGAAACAAATACATCACATTTATCACTGCTAATCAATTCAGTAACAGAGTTGTGGTGATAATCTTATTGACATCATATTCATTTCAATTTGCTGCAATTGTGAAAATTACAAAGTTTAATCTTAAGATTCATCAAATTATTTCCAGCCACTTTGGTCTAGTGATTAAGGCACTGGGCTAGAAAGATGGAGATGTTGAATTCTAGCTTCCTTCTTAGGTACGAAAGCTGGCTGAATGACTTTGGGTCAGTTACTCTCTCTCAGCCTAACCAGCTCACAGAGAGATCATTGTGGGGAAAATAAGAGGAGGAATGTTAGATAGGTTTGCCATCTTGAGTTGTTTATAAAATAAAGGTGGTTAAATACCATGTTTCTCCAAGAATACGGCCTCCACTAATAGGAAGGCCCAGCATGATTTCTAGGCATGAGGTGAAATTAAGCCCCGATCCCAAAATTTAGGCCTATTTAAACCATGTGTTTCCCCACCATTTCTCACATCATTTGTTAGAACTACACGAGGTGAAGAGAAATGGGAAGGGAAGGGGGGGAGAAAACTTGCCTTTAGGAGCGCCATGCAGGTAGCCTAGGCTAGAATAACCTGATCTACTACCGATAGAACATCAGCCGATAGACCAGCTGCTTCTATTGGCTGGTAGAAGCGGCTGCCGACTCTGCCTTTGGGGAGCTTCCATCGGCCAATAGAAATGGCCTCGTGAGGGGAGCTTGCATTAGTTGTTTTTGAATCTACCAGCGGGGCAGGAGAAAAAGCACACGTGTATCTGTGTCTGGATGAAAATTGTGAGATTGCGACAGAGGGAATGGGAGAAAACGCCTTAGCCCAAATGTATTCTTGTTTTGCTTTCTTGCCCATTCTCTGATCAATCTCTCCAGAGCAGCTTTTAGCCTAAAATCGCCCAGGTCTCCCTCAGCTAAAAGAGAGGGGAGGTCTCCAAAGACCACCCCGAACCTCCACCATTTGAGAGGACCAAACTCATTGCTTCTCAAAGTTAGACCCACAAGTTTTTAAAAAGTTCTTCTGAACGCCTCCGACGTCCGATGAAATCAAGAAAT